AGCATCATCTAGCATGTCAAATTGTTCATCCTTAGTTGGTTCATCATCATCACTATCACTTTCATTTTCATTTTCATTTTCATTATCATGTTCCTCATCACTTTTATCATCATAAGTTTGTACCTTAGTAACCTTAGCCATGAAGCATGCTGGAGTGTCGAAGAGAGAAGGCTTCTCATTGATAGCAATGCTTGCAAGAGCCTTCTTCTTGGTGGTTTTGTCATGTCACTTCGTCACTATCATCATCATCACTTGAGGAAGCATCACTATCCCAAGTGACCACATATGAACTACCCTCCTTCTTCTTCTTGATGGTCATCTTGTCCTTCTTCTTTTCTTTTCCTTCTTGTCCTTCTTCTTACTATTCTTGTTGTCATCATCATTGTCACTATTCTATGGGTATTGAGCAATAAGATAATCCTTGCTTCCACAATTGAAGCATCTTCTTGACTCTTCCTTGTTCTTGGATGAAAACTTCTTTCTTCTAGCATGGTAGCCCTTCTTCATCATGAACTTGCTAAATCTCTTGAAAAAGAGAGCCATCTTCTCATCATCCATCTCATCAAATCTCAAGTCTTCATCTTCACTTGATCATTCTTGCTTTACCTTGCCCTTGGATGATGTGGCCTTGAACGCCACACTATTCTTCTTGTTATCCTTCTTGTCATCTTTCTTCTTCCTCTTTTCTTCCTTCTCATCATCATCTCTATAAGCATCATCGGTCATGATATCTCCCAAGAGTTAGTTTGGTGTCATTGTGTCCAAACCGGTCCTCACTAGCAAGGTGACCAACATGCCAAATCTTATGGGTAAGCATCTCAAGAACTTATGAGAGAAGTCCTTGTCCTCCACCTTCTCACCAAGTGCTTTGAGATCATTGACAAGCACTTCCATCCGATGGAACATGTCCGGTCCGGCACACTCTCATCTTCCTTTATCTTGAAGCTAGCAAACTTCTCCTTGAGAATGTATGCCTTTGCTTCCTTTATTGCCTTGGTGCCCTCGAATGATTCTTCTAACTTCTTCCAAGCCTCATGAGCTATCTCAATGTTCTTGATTTGCTCAAATATTCTCTCATCAATTGCATCATGAATGGCACATAGAGCAATGTCATTGTTTTGAAGAAGCACTTCTTCGTCCACGGTGGGATTCTCCGGATCGGCAATCTCAATTTTGGTTTCTATCACCTTTCACATCCTTCTATTGATTGACTTGATATGTGTGGTCATCTTTGACTTTCAATATAGATAATTTGTGCCATCAAATTAGGGTGGCTTCTTGGTGTTGTTGATTTTTGAGCCATTTTGACACCGAATGTTGTTAAGCCTCGAATCACGGTGACCTCGGCTCCAATACTACTTGAAAGGTCCCAATGGCTAGAGGGGGGTGAATAACCTATTAAAAATTTCTACAACAACACTTAGCAAACCGGTTAGACAAATATGATGCTAAGCGAGTGTTGCGCTAGCCTACTAAAAATGTAAGACACCTACCACAGTTCTAGTTTTTATAGTCTCTATCCACACAATGGCTATGTGACTACACTAAGTTAGTATGCTCTCAAAGGTTAACTAAAGAGCCACACTAACCAAACTAATAAGCTCTCACGACTAGATACACTAAAGAGCTTGACAACTAGTTTACGGTAATATAAAAAAAGAGACTAAGATGGTTATATCGCCGAGTCAAGGAATGAACCAATCAATCACAAGAATGAATACCAATGAAGACCAATCACCTCGGAATCAAATGATGACACAATGATTTTTTATCGAGGTTCACTTGCTTGCCGGCAAGCTAGTCCTCATTGTGGCGATTCACTCACTTGGAGGTTCACACGCTAATTGGCATCACACGCCAAACCCTCAATACGATGTCGCACAATCAATACAAGATGAGGATCACACAAGCCACGAGCAATCCACTAGAGTACCTTTTGCTCTTCGCTGGGGAAAGGTCAAGAACTCCTCACAATCACCACGATCGAAGCTGGAGACAATCATCAACCTCCGCTCGACGATCCTCGCTGCTCCAAGCCATCTAGGTGGCGGCAACCACCAAGAGTAACAAGCGAATCCCACAGCGAAACACGAACACCAAGTGCCTCTAGATGCAAACACTCAAGCAATGCACTTGGATTCACTCCCAATTTCACAAAGATGATGAATCAATGATGGAGATGGGTGGGAGGGCTTTGGCTAAGCTCACAAGGTTGCTATATCAATGCAAATGGCCAAGAGAGTGAGCTTGAGTCGACCACGGGGCTTAAATAGAGAGCCCCCACGAATAGAGCCGTTGGCACCTCTGTCCAGTGAAACATGGGCTAACCGGAAGTGCCGGTCAGGTTGACCGGACGCAGGACCCCAGCATCCGGTCGTCCGATGCTCGCCACGTGTCATCAGCCTCAAATGCTGAGTGTCCGATCTTAATGGCTACTCTGCTTCGTGCCACGTGTTAAGTTATGACCGGACACACTGCTTAAAGTGACCGGACGCTCCATCACTGGAGTCCGGTTGTTTCTAGCCAGAACCATTTTGTTGACTGGACGCGTCCGGTCCACCATGACCAAACGCGCTGGTGCATCCACTCCTCCTTCTCTTCTCTGCGCGCCACCACGTTAGCAGGACCGAACGCTGAACAATGTTCAGCTAGAGTCTGGTCACCTGCGTCCGGTCTCAGGCCGAGGGTAGCCCGAGCACACCACTAATTTTATAAATGACCGGACGCTGCTCCCCCGAGTTTGGTCACCACGTGACCGGCGTCCGGTCACTGTTTTTCAGTGACTATCACCTCCTTCACTTCACCAACTTCTTCCCCTTGCTCAAATGTGACAACCACCAAGTGTATCACCTTGTGCACATGTGTTAGCATATTTTCACAAAAGTTTTCAAGGATGTTAGCACTCCACTAGATCCTAAATGCATATGCAATGAGTTAGAGTATCTAGTGGCACTTTGATAACCGCATTTCCATATGAGTTTCACCACTCTTAATTGTACGACTATCGATCCTAAATGTGATCACACTCGCTAAGTGTCTCGATTACTAAACCGAAAAGCTTCTATCAATTTCACCTTTGCCTTGAGCTTTTTATTTTTCTCTTTCTTCTTTTCTAAGTCTAAGCACTTGATCATCACCATGGCATCACCATCATCATGATCTTCACCGTTGCTTCACCACTTGGAATAATGCTACATATCTCATGTTTACTTAGATAAACTAGGTTAGCACTTAGGGTTTCATCAATTTACCAAAATCAAACTAGTGCTTTCAGCCCAAAATAACCAGGCATTTTTTCGGCATGGTCCGAATCTGGCCCGGCCCGCAAAATGCTCAGGTCTAGCTCCAACCTTATCACTTCCCCGTCTCACACCAGCGTGCAAGGAATAAAGCATTAATAGCCTGTCCATTCAAAGTTGCAGTTGTTAACTGATTGCTCTATAGGGGTGTAGTTTTTTTGCCATCATCCTTGGTAACTGAAATGACATATATTAACGGGCATAGGGAGTATATATGAGCCATGCTTAAGACTTTGTTTTAGCAACGGTTTCTAGTGACCAGGTAGGAACGAGTGATTAATGGAAGTTTCTTTCCGTGTCAAATAAATTAGGACATATTTGATACACATGGCTAGTTATTGGACTAAAATTAATTACGGTTATGTAGCTAGTTGGTTAACTATTAGTTGAATATTTGGCTAAAAATTTAGCTCACCTATTAGATCATGTTTGGATAGATTAGAGCCAATATTAGCTAATTTGAGCACTTGGGGAGCCTTTTGGAGGGGAACTTGGCTCCCCCCTCTGCTCCCCCGTGCTGTCACTGCATGCAGTACTTTTCTCATCATGTTGCTATGCAGGAGTAAAAGGCTATTCTGTAAAGCTACAAATCAGAAGTAGGAAGCCTAGGTTGTAGAGAATAAAAGAAATGATAGAAGAGCCTAGAATATATTGCTGTTACCTGGTATAATTGCCATTCAAAAAAAAAAAAATAGCCCCCTTGTTTCCTCTCCGTGCTCCGCAACTGAATTTGAGTAATCCATACCTAATGGTACACAAAGCTGTGTTTGGTTGGCTGCATCCTCTTTCATCCTAGCGGGTGGATTCGCATAAATCTTAAAAAAAAGTATGTTTTGTTGCATATTGAGTGGATGCAACCTACATGAGTGAATGCAAAAAATATGTCATCATCCTGGCCGGGCGGATATACTCAAAAGAGTTTCACTAACCATCCGAGCTAGTGGATACTCCATTCGTCTCAAAAATAAAGTCGCTATGGAAATCGTGCTGATTAAATTTTCTCAACTTTGACTAGGTTTATAGAAAATACGTGCAACATTTATATCTTTAAATAAGTTTATTATGAAAATATATTCAACGATCTACCTAATGATAATAATTATATACCATAAATATTAATATTTTGTTAAATATATTTGGTTAAAGTTAAAAGTTGCTGACTTTTTGGGAAGAAAGAATGACTCTTTTTTTTTGCACAGAGGGTACAATGCATCTTGTGCTGGCAGCATGTCACCCCCGGCCGAAGAGTCCTCGTATGCATCTACATAGGCAACCAAATATCTGCACAGGAGATTACTACATCCACCATGCAACCAACCAAATAATACCTTTTCAGATTAGCACATCCACTTAGCCGTATCCACTCATGCAAGATAACCAACCAAATAATATTTTTCAAACTAATGCATCCACTCACGCTGGATATACGATGCAATGTCATGAAAGTAACCAAAACACACCTAAAAATGTTACCAGCTTCATAGGTGCAGCAGCATAGATATGTACACGAGATGTTCTCTATAGAACAACGTAAGTTAGACATAGACACGATGAACAAGGAGGCCAAAAGCCCAAGCAAACCTTCTCTATCTGTGTGCCAGAACCAGAACCAGATCCAGCCACCAAAAGCAGGCAAGGACACAGGACAAGAAACCGCGAGGGCCGAGGAGGCAACGCGTTCAGCAGCGGCGTGTGGTCCGGCTACCCCCTGCCGAAGAGCCTGGTGGGCGCCTGCCCCCTGGCGCGGTACCTGGCGGCCGCCTCCTCCGCGGCGATGACCTCCTCGCCGCGCCGCGCTACGGCAGCCGCGCGCTTCTCCTCTGCAGCTCTGTGCACCGCCGCCGCGCTGTTCTTCAGCTTCTCCGCTTGCGCCGACTTCTTCATCTCCAGCTGCTCCTGCACGTACGCACACACCGTTCGTTTCGTTGAACAACGCAGGCATCGGCGGCTCGGTGAACGACGACGGGGTAATAAAAAACTTGGCGTTGGTTATGCATGCGACTCACGTGGATCTTCTTGAGCTCGGCCTCCATCTCCGCGATCTTGGAGTTCTCCCAAGAGGTGACGCTCGCCAGCCTCCTGGCCGCCCTGCAACACAAGGAAATTTCAGACCCATGGAGACTGCAAATAAAAAGGCATTGCAGGATCAGTATGGGAGGGAGGGAGAGGACTTCGCCTGTTCTCGGCTTTGGCCTTCTCGCTCTCCTCCCAGGCTTTGATCAGGGACGTCCTCTTTGTGGTCACGACCCGGGTGAGAATCGCGTCTGAATAAGGGTGTGTTTGGTTGAGCTGTGGCTGTAGGAAAAAGCTACGTGAGTGAGAATGGAAAAGCGTCTGAATAAAAAAGCGAGACAAACAAGTATAAAATATACCTTTTATCTTTATCTCTCTTGAAACAACTATGAAAAAGCTTTTTATGCCACTAATTTCGAAAAGCAGAAAACCAAAAGCAAAAAACAGGATCAGACCAGCTTTCAAAAATATACTATGAAAAAACAGCTACTTCTAAAAAAAACAGCAGAAAAAGCAGAATTGACACGCACCAAAGACAAAAGCCCAATCAAACACACCCTAAACGCCGCGTGAGCCACCAGCCACCACCTGTGGCTGTAGGTGCAGGAGTCTCGGCATCTGTCGTCCCAAAAGGCAAGAGAAGAGGTTGGCACGTTTATCATCAACGGGCACTGCTCAGATTCTGTATATATTCTTACTGATATTCTAATGAACCGCCTGTTCGGCTACTCGTATATTTATCAATTATGATATAATATTTTTCTTTTCCAACAAATCAATCATACAAATTAACACAAGCGGCTTATAAACCAGCCAAACAAGCCGGAACATACAAAATATTTTGGTATTGCTGACAGGTACGTTGTGCTGCATTGCATCCATGCTATCCTCTAAGATTCTTAAGTATTTATATCTAGACTGTCATAATCCATAATCTTAGAGTTTAAAATTGTAATCTTGCCATGAAGTGCCAAATCATAAGATATTTTATATGGCTAGTATATTCAGAGGTCATCACTCATCAGTGTCTAACTGCACCCTCATGCTCAACGAGACATGCTAATCCTCTGTTTCCGAAGCAAAACTTGTGAATTAACTCATCATGGAAACACAACCCAGGCCATATCTACTCGTGCAGTTCATGTATCATGTTCATACGATCTGCGGAAGCCGGTGTGGCCACAATCAAAATTAAAAGGCAAAATAGCCATCTTCGTCCCTAAACTATTGTCCGAGGCTCATTTTGGTCCCTCAACTTTTAAAACGTCCAGTTTAGTTCTTAAACATAGGATGGACGAGATCGACCCACAAATGGATTGTTTAAGGACTAAACTGGACGTTTTGAAAGTTAAGGGACCAAAGTGAGCCTCGGGCAATAATTTAGGGACGAAGATGGCTATTTCGCCAAATTAAAACTAGTCTTACTCTCCACCATGACGAGGGTCTCCTCGGCGATGTCCTTGGTCGGTAGCGCTTCCGCCCCTGCGTTCTTGGCCTCCTCGGCCATCTCTGATGATCTCCCACTGCTTTCTTCAACAACCCGACCACAGCTAAACCAAGAGAGATGTTTGGTGACGGATGTGGCCGGCCGGGGCTTGCTCGATCGATTGACACGGGCTGATTTTTCCACTAGGTTTGGTGGCACGGCAGCATTGGCGGGGCACGCAACACCTAGGGTTCAAAGGTTGGCCTCGGAAAGCAACGGCCATGTCTCTGATACAAGATAGACTCACTGACTGCTTACTGGGTAAAGATGGCAACAACCCGACCACAGCTAAATCCATTAGAGATGGGATGGGATCATTTTTTTATCGACGGATCTAAATGGCCGGAATTCATCCTCGATGATTGACGGTGCGGAAACGTTCTCTTTTTCCGTCCACTAGGTTTTGAGTGGCAGTATTAGGCCCAAAAAGCTCAACATAAGTATTTTGGCAAATGTGAACAATCATATATATAGTTTGTGTGTTCTAGGAACCATAATTCAATTTTTCCTCACCATCTTTGCTAGCAAAGCAAAGCACGAAAAAACAAAGGTTGGCTCTCCGCAACCTCGCTCCTTCTCCTCAAAGATCTCGAGACTCAATACCCGGTGAAGAAGGGATTAAAGCTGAGATGTTTATCGATATTGGGTATCAGAACGGTGGACAAGAATCTATACCCGAGACAGTTAACGGGGATGGGGACGGGATGAATTCTCCATAGCGGGGAAGAGAACGTTCCGACGATACCCGACGGGTACATCCCCGTTGCCATCCTTATTACTGGGGAGGTCACGATTCACGACCTCCTTTGCGTTGCCGAAAACTATGTGAGGTGCCGAGCCACTGCAAGTTAATTTTTTCCCCATCTTCTGGTTCTTAATTCCCAAAAAAAAAGCTCGTTCGTCTATTCCTGTTTCGCTGCCTTTCCACCTTGGAGCATCCCTAAGGGCTACTTTGAAGCAGCTTTCCCCACCGGGATCCCGCCGTTTTCCCGGGGCTAGAAACCCACGCGGCAATTTTCCACGCGTCACGGCTCGGGTCAATTTGGAAGCTCTCGACAAAGGTGTCTCGGCCCCGCGGGAGCCGGGTTTTCACGGGGAAACCTGCCTGGCCTCCAGACACGGGGCGTCATTCCCGTCCCTTTCCCTCTTGCGACTCGACTCCCGTCGCCACCCCTCCGCCTCGCCTTGACTCGACTCTCCTCCATCGCCACGACTTCTCCTCCGGCCTCGACTTCTCCTCCGTCGCCATCACCTTGCGGCACCAGCACCTCCGTCTCCGCAGGTGAGCTCGCTTCCACTTGCATCACCCTGCATCACATCTAGGGTTTCCTGATCCTATCCTCACATGTTTCCTATGGATCTTGGGACTACGGATGGCCACCTCTTCCTCCCCACTCCACCTCGTACATCCGCTCATGAATCGCGACCGCTTGCACAGCTCTTCATCCGTCGCCCGCCGACCCGACCGCGACGGCTCCACCACTACTCCGTGACTGACCGGCCTCGTCACAAGATCTGGTGAGCCATTGTGCCATCCGCGAGCAACACCGACGTCGCCGCAACAACACGACACAACCTCTGCATCTACAGGTTAGTCTTCTATCCGCATCTCACACCCCTTCTTGTAGATCTGCAAAACAAATCTACCACCGTCTTTTATTGTTTCAGATCCAATTGCTTCATGTAGCTTAAAGAACTCAACTGTTGAACTACTTTACTATTCATTAGCAGAGTGATTCTATGGTTTCTTGTTTGTGATGTGAAAATAGATGTCATGAATTATGATTCTTCAATAATCGATAGAGATTGTAATGTTTATTGGTGAGCTAGTTTGTGTTTAGAACACCATTGCAATAGAATAGGATGGCATGTTGTGATGGATTTTTTTTCTAGCATTACACAACAACTATATGCATGCTTATAACGGCCCAGACATATACTGGTTGGGACGTTTGGTAGTCTTGCTATTTTCTAGCATGCAGACTAGTATAGTAAGCGGTCACTGAAGTAACAATTTTCTGCAAGGTGACATGGGTGTTTAAATCCAGGGGCTAAATTTTAGGAGTGTCACATCGGGTGTCATATGGGGGTGTCATATCGAGTGTTCCTCCTAAGAGCATGCTCTCTCTAGTGCTCTGTTTTGCCAATTGTGGTTGTGGATTTGTGGTACTTGGCAGTTTTTTTTATATATGTAATAATATAATTTCATATATGTAACACTAGATGGCTTCTTGGGAGGAGCTTGCTGGGAATTTTTTGTTGGAAGAGGAAGAAGAAGATGAGGAACTATTTTTGTTCTTCTCCTTGCTGTAATGCCCTTTCTCGATGAAGAGAAAACACCTGAGCATACCTCTTCTCTTCCTAGTGCTAAAAAGGTTAAAGAGATCCTCGAAGGACACGAGAATTGGTGGAAGGAAGAATTTAGGATGGAGGCTAAAATATTTAGAACTATAGCAAACTTTCTCAGGGCTGAGAACTTGCTACGTGACACACGTGGTATGAAGATTGAGGAGCAACTTGGTCTTTTTATGTTCGTGCTCTCTCATAATGCAAGCACAGATAGGCTAAAGAAGAAGTTTCAACATAGTGGTGAGACAGTGCATAGGAAAATAAATGAGGTATTCAATATCATTCCAACATTAACCCAAAATTTCATCAGACTTCTGAATCCAAGCCACACACATGTGAAGATTACATGTGACCCTAGATTTATGCCATTCTTTCAGGTCGGTTCATACTTCATACATACAGTACACTTTCCTTAATACCATTCCTAAATACAATCCAAATCTTTAGTGATTTTTCTTACCTGCAGAATTGCATCGGTGCTATTGATGGTATGCATGTCCCAATCACAATTGGACAAGACAAGGCCAGTCCCTATAGAAATAGGAAAGGGACACTATCGTAGAATATAATGTTTGCATGTGACTTCGACCTGAAGTTCATTTTCATCTCATCTGGTTGGGAAGGATCCGCATCTGATGTAGGAGTGTTGTGGTCCGCTCTTGGCAAGGTATTTACTGTGCCGGCAAGCAAATTCTATCTTGTAGACGGTGGATATGCAAACACACCATCATTCCTTGCTCCCTACCGAGGAGTGAAGTATTATCTCAGTGAGTTCAGGAGACGTGGCCAAAGGGGAAATGCATATGCCAACTACAAGGAATTGTTCAATCATCGGCATGCGATTCTTCGAAATCACATTGAGAGGGCCTTTGGGGTTCTCAAAAGGCGGTTTCCAATTCTGAAAGTGGGGACACATTACCCAATTGAATGTCAAGTTAAGATTCCAGCAGCTGCTGCTATGTTTCACAACATCATTAGAGGGTTGAATGGGAGTAAAGAGTGGCTAGACATCCTACCTGATAATATCAACCCATCAAATTATGTCAACATGCCAGAGGGAGACACTAACTACCCAAATGAGATGGAATCAAATGATGGAAATACCCTACGAGACCAGATAGCCCATCAGATGTGGGCTGCCTACAATGTGTAGGATAGTAGTGTTTGGAATGTAATTTAATAATACTTTGTATCTCTTTATGAGTCATGTATTTCTGTAATACTTTGTTTCTGATTTATGAGTTATGAGTTATGTATTTCTGTAATACATTCTGTGATGCAACATTCTGTAATACATTCTGCAATACATTCTATACTACTTTATGAGTTATGTATTTCTGTAATACATTCTGTGATGCAACATTCTATAATAAATTGTGCAATACATTCTATAATACTTTATGATTTATGTATTTCTATAATACATTCTCACAATCCTAAATTATTTCTTGCAGCAATGTCGAAGGAAAGGGCTACATGGAACTGGAGATATGAGAAAGGTCTTGTTGACACTATGAGAGACCACATGAACATCCCAATGTTCAGGGGTTAGAATAGATGGGCTGGAGATGGTTGGAGAAGTATGTCAGAAAAGTTCAACCAAATGTTTCATTTTGCACACTTCTCAAAGCAACAACTACAAGAGAAGGAAAAGGAGTTAAAGGGCAGCTGGAAGGCGATACATGTAGCGAGACAGGAAAGTGGTGTTGGTTGGAATGACTCATTGGCCATGGTCATTGCGGAACCAAAAAATGGAAGAAACTGATCAGTGTAAGAATTTTTCACTGAACCAAAAAATTGTTGCCATATTATGATTGCAAGCACTAACTATGCTAGTTGTCGTAGTATTAAATAGGATAATGGAAAAATGGCTAGGTTCCAAAAGAACCTGTTTCCTTTATATGAAGATTGTATGTCATTGTATGCTGGTACGTTATTTGAAACTTCTCTCTAAGGTTATGTAGCCTTATTGTTCTACTTGAGAGTAAAGCACCATCTAACTTGATAGTATGACTGTACAGTGCTTTCAATTTAAGTTATAGTATGCCTACACTTGAAGTATGATTGTGCACTATTTTTTTCATAGGAAGTGTTGCTATAGGAGATCTAAACTTCACATCAACCGAGCACTTGCAGCTTGCTCCTCTTGTTCCTATTGCTGCTCCAGCTACTCCCGCTGCTCCCGCTGTAGTCTTTGATAGCACAAGTCTATTTGCTACTTTTGATGGGCTAAACATCTCAAGTGCATGCAATGAAGCTCAATCTGTACCTTCCAATCAAGATTCTGTGCAAGGAGCGAGTGGTGGGAGAAAGCGTAAGCGAAGTCATATTGGTGCTGCTATTGAGGGTTTTGTGCAGTATAAGAAGATGCAAACAAGCAAAACCATGGAAGCTCTCAATGAAAAGAAGAAACAAGACAAAGAATTTTCAGTGCACAAGTGTCTCGATGAAGTGGATGCAATGGAACTTACTAATGTGGAGAAGGCATATGCTATGAATATCTTCAAATCTAAGATAGATAGGGATGTATTCATGAAAATGAAAAATAAAAATGTTCGCTTGATTTGGCTCAAACAACAGATTAGGTAATGCTTAGCTGTTGTGGCAGAACCGCCTAATCTAATGCCCTCTCAAAAATACTTGTCTTCTATTAGACACTAAGTACCTAAGAGAGTGCACTAAATCGTCCCGTTCCGTTGAGCACACCCCAAGGGAGAACTCAAAAATTCATATTTTTCCATCAGGATCATAAATGAGAGAATAAAGCTTACAACATTCTTAACCATTTCTTACATCACTTTATTACAACATTAGAGTACTTAAACCAGTTGAATGCAATAGCGGAATTAAGACAATTTTAAATGTAAAAGAGTTTATACATTTTATGTTCACATTTTTATCTTGCAGCGGAGAACAATATATGATCAGAGTTACAGCGGAAATAAAGATTAATGGTGAATCCTTAACATAGTGAACATTTATAAACCAGTTAAGATGGCAGGTAATAAAACTTTTCTTCTAAAAACTTTTAGTGAGGGTTATAAATAAACACTATGATCGTAACATGAAAGGAATCCTCTCTAAGCCCATCAGAAGGTTTCCACACACAAGAGTCAGCTCTAGCATCCACTTGTCACCTGCAACGGGGAATAAAACCCTGAGTACTCGATTGTACTCAGTAAGACTTACCCGACAGGAAGAAAATAAAAGACTTCAAGGATATGAAAGGCTATCTGGCTTGTGGGTTATTGCATCTGCAGGAAGCATTACTAAATGTGCATCCTTATATTCAATTTTATTAGCAGTCATCATTAATTTATTAACTAACCATTCTATGTAAGCACCTATGCTACTTTCAAGCAGGTGGTAAGCAATCAGAACCATTTTACCATCTTTTATATTCCAGTTCTTACTACGGTGCTAGACCATAGCCAACTCGTACTGTCTCATAGAAACGCGATTTGCGAATCAATGTATCCTAGCTAGGTACCCCGAAACACACGCCTCACTTGTACCCCAAGCACAAACAAGACCAACCCGTTCCACTCCTATCAAGTGGTCTAGGTCTCCGTCCAAACTTAGACTCCAAGCCCCCAACACCTGAGACCCGATCTCAGTATGGTGTTTAGACCTCCACCTAATACCCACCCCTAAAAGTCAGTCCAAAAAGAGCCAAAACCCATGCCAAGAGGGTAACAAGTCTTCCCGCTCCCATAAGCAAGTATGTGCTCAGGATAATAAGTCTATGACCTGACTACCATCCACAACAACGGACGGTCCTCAATCGACACAGGTGGAACGAGTGCAACCAGAGCCTCGCTCGATTGCCCAACCCAATCTAATTTCAAATCCAAAGTATAGTTTCGCCCGGTCCCCAATTATTATCCATTCATATTCGATGTGATGATAATAATAACAATAATATCTTTTCTATCTCTCGCGAGTGATAGATAATCACTCGACTTCTACCGAAATCCTATAGCATATCAATCTACAAGATCCTGTCATACTAGTAGACTCATAGGATAATGATATATTTATGCAAGTGGATTTCATTTAACTCCTTTAAACTTAATGCGCAAGCATAAACTAAAGTGCAGAATAATAGGGGTTATGCACCGAGGCTTGCCTAGGTAAGATATAACCAAAAGTTAGCATTCCATCATGGTGACACGATCATCAAGGCACCATCTTTTCCACTACTCCGATCATCTCCATGATGCATCGTTGTTCCTATTATGGCATATGTGGATGCAACACAGAGACACATTTAATCAACGATAACCGCAACTCTTAAAAATACAATTACGCCTCTCAAGCTACGAGCTAGCTCTAATGACTAACGTATTAGGCTATGTATCCATGTTGTTGCATAAGGCATTGTTTCCCGATAAGTGTTTTAGTTCTACAATCCCAATGTGTTTCTTTACTTTATTTCATTGATTTAATATATATTCAAACTAGGGCTCATTAGCTATCTTAGCAAACTAATTATTATGGAGCTACAAAAATTATAGCGAGCACATAATAATATTAGGAATTTATTATGAAATTTTTAGAGCCAACACTATCACCAATTTATTACAAAATTCCTACAAGTTTATATCTTAACAATATTAAGCATCTCAATTTAATTAGATAACTCCTAAAAATACTATGAAGCTATGTGAACAAGATATACTAGCAGATAGATCATGATTTTAGGAACCTAACAAAATTAGTATCACCATTTTTTATCAACTACAAAAATTTATATGGAATTTACAAGTTTGCTTTAGAAACTAAATTAGAAAACGCTTTAGGAAAAAGTAAAAGGCCGGTGGCCACTAATCCGGCCCAGCGGCCCACGAAGCCCGCGCGGGGCGTGGTCGTGCTCGGCCGGTTGGCCTAGCAACGGATCAAGGCGGGAGAGCCCCGCGCGCTCGTGCTTTTGCAAAAGAGGGCTCACACTATTAGACAATCAAGCTACACAGTGAATCACTATTTCATTAGACTCAAGCTTTGCACAAAACACCCTAAAAAGTGTTGTCTTCGCAACGGGCGGCTCCCCGGCATGCCCGCGCGCGACGGCGTGGCACACCGGCGACAACTACGGTTACGCCGGCCATCGGCAAGGGTCTCCGGTGACCTACGGTGGCCGAGCATCTAAGTTTTGGTAGCATGCTTCTAGAGGTGGCGGTTAGGTATAGGGAGAGGCACTACAGCATATTCGACCACGGTGGCAGCTGGGACAACGTGTTTCGTGATGACGGCGAGGCTGTACCGGTGACCTAGAGCCCTAATGGAGGTAACGCAGTGGCAAAAAAGCAGTCGGAGCTAAACGAGGTGCACGCGATGGTGATGGTTGAAATCGAGAAGGGCTAAGGTGGTCTGGCCACGTGCGAGCTGGCTGGGCAGCGATGCTCCGAGGCAGACACCGGCGCGTCACCTTGTCACCGATGAAGCTTCTGACTAAAAGAAGGCGAGCACCGGCACGAGGGGGTCAAGGAGAGCTCGAAACACCCATCAATTGAACTACTACTGGTGACAAGAGGCTCACCCTCAACACGAGTACAACATGGCGGCGAAACCGATCGGCGGCGAGCAAAAATTCGAATCTAGCCGGCAACAGGGCTTGCCTGCGCCTTGGTGCAGGTCAAGCTGCTACCTAGCTTATATTCCTAGCTACTAGAGCACTGAATCGAGATGAGATATCATGGACAGCGCGCATTTAACTTGCAAAGCGGCGCGGTTCCGTCGGTGGTAAAGGGAAGACAGGGCAGCGAACCCTTCAAGACACGGGTGAGGCTTAGAGAGAGCGCGTCGTGGAGTGCCGAGATGGGATGGTGTAACACCCTCGGTGTTACGCCTTAAACCAACTACTAAAACATGTCATGAGCATCATGTTTATGTGATAATGCATGTGATAGAATGTGTAGATAAATTTCTTGTAACTTAAAATGATCAATAAAAATGTTAAATGAAAGTCGATTCAATAGCTCATGTATATCAAGTAGGGTTTAAAACTAATTTTTATTGACAAAAACACTATAGAACATATATGTGGCGCTTAAATAAAGATTGAAATATGAACTTTGTAGATGACAACGAAATACTTTCTGTAGAAAAATAACATTGTTAGCCAACATTTCTAATAGCCTAGAAATGCAAATTGGAATCAAGTTCAGCTCAAAAGACTTAGAATATTTTCAAGTATGTTAACAGTCAGACAATGCCATGTTTGGCAATTTATTTTGCGAGATCGAGTTAAGAAAAGGTGTCATGTGTTAGCTCGGTTTGGTAGCCTCATATGTCATCTTGAGCATGGTGAAGATGGTTAAGGTCCTAAAGCAACCGTTTAGTTTTTATAGGCGCTTTAAAATTTGTGCACGACACGGTCTCGGGCTGGTTGGCCGCGTGGACGCGGTCACCACGCTCGGGCGCTTGATGTCGCCATGCTGGCAGTCCCACGTGCATGCATGTTGCCGCGCGTGGCCAGCCATGGCTGCTCTGCCCTAGCTGTGGCCTGGCCGCCTCTCGCTCCTGGCGCGCGGAGCCGCCGTAGCTACTTGCGTAGCCAGGCGGTGCTGCCGCCGGCCCTGCTGCGCGCCGCCAGACCGACGACCCACCTGCGGCTTTGTGACATAGCGGCCGCGCCGCCGCCGCCTCACCGTCATGTCCGTGCCTCCTTCTGCATCTCTATGCCGCTGCTGGCCCAGTGCGATGCCGCCTCTGCCGCACGCACATGAACGGGCTCACCATAGCCTTGTCATTGATGACACTGCGGTGCGTGACTGTCTGCTAGCACCTATGCGTGGGCCTCCACGATCATGCCGACCACATCCCACCAAGGCGAGGCTGAGCCGAGCCCACCTGCCGCGCCCCGTCTCTCTCTTTCTCTCTTTCTCCCTCTACTGTCGCCGTCGAGCCGCACCATCAAATTACCTAGCGAGCGATCACCTCCATTCAATTCATCACATCCATGGATTCACCATCACGTCGTCTCGCTGCCCGACCCCACCCAACCATGAAGAAGGCACTGCCAAGCTCCAATTTTGGGGTTTCCCCGCTGTCGTGCCGATAAGGCCGCGTCCGGCCGTGGATGTGGGCAGCCCTCCTACTATCCCTCCCGAGCTAATTCTCCTGCACCACTAGCTTTGCCTTGTCTCCCTCTCTGCCTTGCACATGCCAATGGAACCGCTACCGCCTTCCCATCGTCGTTGACGCGACCATGCCACCACGGTGCATCGCCGCACGCTCGGCCGTAGGTGGCTAGCCCTTCTCCGTCATCCTCCGCTCCAACCGTCACCTCGGCTAGGTCCACGGTAGTCTCCTGATGCTTGCGCGCTAACCAATTAGGTATGTACCTACCCCAGCTCATCGGAACAGTGGTGCCGCCATCGCGGATGGATGCGCGCCGCTGCATCCTTCCCTAGCAAGTCATGTCACCCCGCACTGCCGCTTAGCGTAGCCGCTCGGATCAAAGATGGTGACCGGCCTGTTAGGTGGTCTGTCGTAGGTCCCTGGTGGCTGGCGCAACCGCGTTGTGTCATCGGCCGCCGTGCGCTGGGTCATCGGGGGTGCGCGCAGGGGAATTCTAGGAAAGTTAG